TTCGCTTTCAAAGAAGGGCAAGAAATTTAAATAGTCCTTTAGAGAAAAAATAATTATTTCGATAGATGTACTCGCCACTAAGACACACACTGTTTGAGAGAGAAATAAACATTTTGTATCTGTATCTACTGCAAGACGCAATCATCTGTGTAGAAATGAGAAAACTTGCCAAGTCTTCCTGACATTCAATTCATGTTTGCCTCATTGAGGTGATCGTAGGGATGGATTGGCACACGTCCATTTATTCATCTAGTAAAAAGTCGGCATTCCTCTGACATCAATCAGGAAAGAACCTAAGGCAGGTATCTTAATAGGGGCTGCAAAATCCACGCTCTCTTTAACAAAGATTAGTGATTAAATTTTGGATACGTCCACATCTGCACACACTTGGAGGCAGCTGGGGTTAATCCAGGGTGTACTAGCAGTACTGTGAAGTTAAGTCCTGGCGCTAACGGAGCGTACGTTTTAATCTCGTAAAACGTAATCCCGTAAAACAGATTATGGTTTAACGCATACAATATCTAGCAATATGTGCTCGCAATCAGATGCTGTAAAATTCAATCTTTCTTTCACAAATTTTTAAATGCTTCATTTACTGATGTGTTAAGCGTCAATAATGCTGGGTTTGTAGACCATAAGGCAACTGGGTGGATCTGTAGAGGTGGAGAAAGCTACTCAAAACAAAAGAAAAGTAAATGATGTAGTACCGTGGGATGTCTTAACAACAAAAAATCCATAAAAAGTGACACAGTTACTTTATCAGTAGAAAAAAGTGCTGGCTTATTTCATATTTCAAAATGAGTGTTAAGCAGTAGCGCTCCCTAATGCATCCACTAGAAAAAAAGCAAAGTAGGTACCTTTACCTAGATTAAGTTTTAAATACTGTCTTGTCATTTTTTGGGGCTTTGCGTTTCAGCGCATTAAAAAAAACCGTTTTACCCAGTGTTGTAGGGTCCAAGCTCAAAATGTTTTGCACTAAGTAAAGTACACTTGTGGGGACTGCGTCACTGTTCAAGCGTAACAACAATATGCGCTAGTAACACAAAACAGAGGAGGACCGCTTTGTAGCATGTTTGGATAAAAGCAGAAAGGTGGAAATTTGCACAATCGGGAATATGCAATAAATCATTTCAGAATTTTAGGCACTGTATGCACAAGATAAAAGCCCATTCGTCCTAAAGAGGGGAAATTGCGGTGCACGCAAGCTGATTTACCCTTGTACAATACCACCTTTCTTCTCAAAGTGCGTAAAAATGTCTGATGGACTCGTGTCTTTCAAGAAATGATACAAAAGTGTCAAAGCTCTAAAGCGACATACGTTGCAGGACTGGTAGAGCATATGAAAGGCAAAATTTAAGCACTTCTTCGCTTCATGCATCTGCTCAAAAGCAGGTAAAAGTTCGGACTCTATTAGCAAATGAGCGCTGTATCAAATGTATTTCGGGTAAAGCTTGGAAAAACCATTTCGTAAGAAAAGTTTGACAAAATTGTTTTAAAGGTGACAACTTAATCATCATTTGTGAAATCCACAGGAAATGTACCATTGTTAAGACTATATAATTCAAAATGCACCAATTTCTTCTTTATAAAGCAAATAAAAAATATCATAAGGGATTGCGTATTACTATGAAAAGGAGACTTGTAAAAGTGTTTAAAACAACCTTATAAGAATCCGAGAAAATATTAGGAGAAATACAATTGCAATTCTCCTAGTACCCAGGAAACAAACTCAACCGTGGCAAGCCATGGGGGGTAGATTTTGAGTCGCTAGGCATTGAGATTTCCTTTTCATTTTCATGCTACTATTTTATCTTTTAAAGAAGTATTAATAGGTAAGCCATCAGCAGTCAAGTCGGATTGCCAGTTTTACACAAAATCAAAACATTACCTTACCTAAAAGCTGAGGTAAAAGCATAAGAGTTACACGAAGGATATATCCTTCGGATGAATGTAAATGTTGATGCGAAATTGAAGGCATTGGAGATAAATGTTAAAATAATAGCTAAAGTTTGCGCTTGTTTCAAAAATGTATTGGTAACGTCGGAGTCACCGTTCTCACATTTCTGGAAAATT